AGAATAGAATAGAATAGAATAGAATAGAATAGAATAGAATAGAATAGAAAATATGGAATAAAATGGAATGGAATGGAGAGTGGAGTGGAGTAGAATGAAATGGAGTAGAATGGAATGGAATGGAATGGAATAGAATGGAATGAAATGGAGTAGAATGGAATGGAATGGAATGGAATGGAAGAGGAGAGGAGAGGAGAGGAGAGGAGAGGAGAGATTGGACAGCCATTTGTCCAAAATAGTATCGGGTCTTCTCCCACTCGAGCAAGGGGTTAGACTAGAAGACCTCCAAGGTCCCTTTGGTATTCCGTACTCTGTAAGTTGGAACAACGACAGATTCAACCGAATTAAAACAAAAACCATTTTGTTTTAATCATTTGGCAAGATTTATTTAAAACTTACTGAAGTACAATTTAGGAACTCAGCCAGTTAAGCATAGTTATGACCAAGTGGATTCAGGATTTGAACAATGCAACATACAACAGTTTGCTTAATGACCATACAAGTTAGAATGAAACAGAAAAAAGTGACTTATGACCATTTGTCACACTTAATGACCATTGCAGCATCCCCAGGGAAGCTGGATTCGTTTAACAACGGCAGAGATTCACTGAACGAACACCTGTGGCAAGAGAGGTCATAAAATGGGGGGCGGGGGGGCTCACTGAACCAATGTCTCAGTTAGCAACCGAAATTTCGCACTCAACTGTGGTCATAAGTCAAGGCCTGTCTGTGCAATTGATTGGCAATGAGGGAGATTATCAATGGAAGAGAAATATCAAATTTACAGTTAATATTACACCGAGAAGAAATTGTTGTTTTATCGATGGTATATTACATTAATATACCATCGATAAAACACCAATTTCCTCTCCTTTCCTTTCCTTCCTTTTCAATTCTACCTTTAAAATCTGTTTTATTCTATTAGATTAATAAAACAGATTTTAAAGGTAGAATTTTTTTTAGCAGGCCATTATTTTGTTTAAACTGAATATTACTAAACTTTATCTATATATATAAAAGCAAAAGACCCCACACGCATCATCACAAAATCTCCAGAACCGTAAAGCCTACAAACTTGAAATTTGGCCCGTATGTTCCTCTTGGCTTCTAGGGGCTCACTAAGAAAGGATTTTTCAAAATGACCATCAGAGCATTTAGTATTTCCTATATTATTATTATTAACAAGCTCTGATGCTAAGTTCTACTCCCCTTCCCCACCTGGAAAGAAATCTCTTCCAAATGCAAAACACAAGCAGAGGAGTTTCAGTTTCACAGCACCAAGCAGCTTTAGTACAGAACAGTTGAGCTAAGCCACGCCCAGGCTCCTTGCTGTCTCCTTCTTGCTCACACAGCAAATACTCCTTCAGTTTCCAAACAGCCCTCAACTCTCTCACACACTGACAGGACACTAGCCAGATGAATACCGATGGATGCTGGTAAGCAAAGGGACAATTTTCCCCCTTATTTTCCTCCCAAAAAACTAAGCCCGACCACATAGCTTTGTAGCAAAGTACAGGTATCGAGCTAGTATTTTTATAAAATATACCAAGCTGACTTTGAACAGGATAACAGCTGCCAGCATTTTCTATCTTTCTTACCGAAAAACACAAATAATTTCTTTCATGAAAGAAGGGCAAATTAAGTTAGGAGCTTATGTATCAACGTCAGAATGAGCTGCATATTTTAAAATGTGATGGGAGATTTTAACATGATGTGGATTTTTTTTTTATGATTATCATTTTTTGCATGCCACATCCTAAGTCTGGGTTTCTCCTAGCATAAGATTATAACGTGTAAGATTTGTCAAACCAGAGAGAACTTATTGTAACGTATAATTTGTCATTCAAATCATGCTGCTTAAGATTGCCAATTACCATGCAATAATCTTATTTTAATGCTGATTTATTTCAACATATTTTTTTCAACTCCCAGACTGATGTGCAATATTTTAATATGTAGATTTATATCAATGTCATTTTGGAAATTATTTCTTGTCCAACTTACAGCGCCTGAAAACCCTTCATGCTCTTTATTAATAACTTGCTTTTTCCTCGACTTTTCCTTGTCTCTTTTTCCAATGATATTTATGCACCATTGCTAGAGTAGGCAGGATGGGCGGCCCACGAATCTAATAAATAAAACTCACAGCCAGCTTTTGTAAAATGTTTATATAAATGTGAAAAAGTTCTAGGAGAAAGTCACTAAATACAGATAACCTGTTTCCCTGAAAATACAACCTACCCTGAAAGTAAGTCCTAGCTTGATTTTTACACATGTGCCCAATATAAGCCCTACCCCTCCCCCCCAAAAAATAAGCCCTAAATAAGATCCCACCCACTCCAGAGTACATGCGTAAAAATTAAGCTAGGGTGGGGATGGAGGGGGTAGAGCTGCCCTACTACTTACATTTGGACAGTTGTAGCCAGGCCTCGCACACCCCGACACCTGCCTTGCCGGCCCATTTCTTCTGCACCCGGCAAGGCTGGCAAGGATTTCCTCAAGGCCTCTGACAGCGAAAAGGAGGCCAGGGGCAACAAATGCAAGTGAGGTTAGTCAGTGGATAACATCCCCTGAAAATAAGACCTGGTGCCTTTTTTTGGTGGCAAAAACATATATAAGACAGGGTCTTATTTTTGGGGAAACACAGTAGTCATTTAGTGCCTGTTCAAAGTTACAATGGCACTGAAAATAATGACTTATGACCATTTTCCACACTTATGACCATGGGCAGCATCCCAGTCGGTGGTCACCTGACTTACATTCGGATGCTTGAACCACTGGCTCGCATTTACGACGGTTGCAACGATCGGGAGTCATTTTGCAACCTGTGGGCAAGCGAAGTCCGTGGAGAACTCAGATTCACTGAACGACTGTGTCCCTGATTTTAACAACAAGCCGTGATTCCCTTAACAAAGGTGGCAAGAAAAGCAGTACAAGGGGACGGATTCACTTGACAAACGGTTCACTGAACAACCGTAAATGTTGGGCTTGATTATGGTCAATTGAAGGCTCCCTGTATGAGTCAGCCGTGTGCTTCAGCCTTCAAAAAGGCGAATGCAATCCTAGGCTGCATTAGTAGAGGGATAGAATCAAGATCCGGGAAAAGTTCTACTATCGCTTTACAAAGCCTTAGTAAGATCAGACTTGGAGTACTGAAACCAGTTTTGGTCACCGCGTTATAAAAAAGATGTTGAGACTCTAGAAAAAAAGTGCAGAGAAGAGCAACAAAGATGATTAGGGGACTGGAGGCTAAAACATACGATGAACGGTTGCAGGAACTGGGCTTGGCTAGTCTAGGGAAGAGAAGGACCAGGGGAGACAGGAGAGCAGCCTTCCAATATTTGAGGGGCTGCCACAGGGAGGAGGAAGGGGGTTCAATCTATTCTCCAAAGCACCTGAAGGCAGGACAAGAAGCAACAGATGGAAACTAACCAAGGAGAGAAGCAACTTAGAACTAAGGAGAAATTTCCTGACAGTCAGAACAATTAATAAGTGGAACAAATTGCCTCCAGAAGTTGTAAATGCTCCAACACTGGAGGTTTTTTTTAAGAAGAGATTGACTGAAATGGTGTAGGGGGCAGGGGGTTGGACTAGAAGACCTCCAAGGTCCCTTCCAACTCTGTCATTCTCTTATACCGACATCACCAGACGTGTTGTGTTGTGTTGTCTTTCCCAGAGATATTGACATGTCTTTCAACCTCTCTTTTCTTCTCTCTCTTGTGTCTTTGCAGCACAAAGCCCCACCACGGCTGATCCTTTGCAACAGGCATACGCTGGAGTACAGCAATACGCAGGTCGTTAGTATTAACACTTTCCCCCAATAACCCTTTCACTTTCACTTTCGGGGGGGCTTAGAAAAGTCACATCCATGGTTCATCTCATCCATTGTATCTCAGCAGGGCAAAGGGGCAACATCTGTGCTTTGCCTTAAGAGGCATTTGTTTATTTTTTAGGTTTATCAATAAAGGAGAATATTTGTAGCTCGGGGCTGAAATGAAAAGTGCTTGCTGCTCTCCAAGTTTGGTTGTTTCCTTGCAAGTGTTTCATGACCCAACTAGATAACATCATCAGCGCTAGAAGGGAGTGGAGTTTGTGGAGAGGAGGAGGGGGTGATAGGAGGAGGAGTACGACTGTAGTTTCTTGGTGCTCTCCGAGGTTGGTGGTTTTCTTGCGGACGTTTCATGACCCGACTAGGTAATATCATCAGTGCTAGAAGGGAGTGGGATTTGTGGAGAAGAGGGGAGAGATGGGAGGAGTAGGGAGACCGTACATCCTTGGTGCTCACCGAGCTTGGTTGTTTTCTTGCGGACGTTTCATGACCCAACTAGGTAATATCAGTGCTAGAAGGGAGGG